CCACAAGGCTTAAAGTTGTTCGTCACTGGATACCTACATCTGACAACCAGAACAAAGATGTTTCCATTTTCATTGAGTAGAAATTTCACTATTTCCTAGTTATCAAAGGCTGCCATGCAATCTACAACTACCTAGAGTTGGCCAGTCCTGTCCATGAGTTCATTAGAACCCCAGTCTCCAAAAGGTATCAAAAATGCAAAAAGTTTTAAGTATTATTTTCAGAAGATCCTAACTTTCATACAACTCTAGAACTACAAACCTTTTGCCAAGTTTTCTAATTAAAAAAGCTTGAGTGGAGAGAAAACAGACATTTTTCTACATAATGAGAAAATCTTATTTTTATTTATTATTAACTGGATTAGCAGTATTTTTGTAGTCCTGAAGTTATAAAACCAGGTCATAAATTAAACTCAGACTACACTGCGTAAGTCTTTACTTACAATGAACTCTATTAGTGAACTCTCTTCAAAAATAATCTGCTTCTCAATGAAATTAAAAATCAGTATTAAATTATGAATATTTTTAAAAGAAAGCACTTTAGACTTCCAAAGAAGCTACCTTTATTCCTACTATAAAAAATATATAGAGTATGTATTAGTGCTATTTTATCATTAACCTATGCATTCAGTTATTTAAACCATTAATCTTACTTCTTCATGTAAAATTCCGAAATAAGATTTCAGAAAAAAAAAGTGTTTTCCTAATGCTTTTATAACTTTAAATATTCCAACTGTGATCTTGGCAAATGCAATAAGACATGGTAATTAATATGTTCCTAAACTAAGTAACCAAAGAACATAAATGCACTACAGTTTTGGTTTTTCTCCCTCCTCAATATTTCTCTTCCCATACCCACCCCAAAACCAAAAACCAAGCCCTGCCATCATGACAATTCCCAATGATAGTGACCTCCATTGGGTTTACAGAAGTAGATTGCTTCATCTTCCTCCCAGAGTAGCTGGTCGGTTTGAACCGCTGACCTTTTGGTTAGCAGCCAAATGTCTTACCACCTAAGCCACCAGAATTCCTTGTCTCCACCCCAAGCATAAATAATTTACGAAGGTTATATTGCTTTTTATAAGCTTCTCAACACAATATGTGGCTTAATCATTCATGTAATGGTAATTAAACACCAATCATTTGATATTTATGTCTTCTTTAAAATCTAATTTCAAAATGAACCGCCTCCCCTATCTATGTGATGTTTCCACTGCTGGGGCACAAGGTGGAGATGGAGAGAGAACTCACCAACTCACGGGATTCCATTTCCTTTTCAGTTGTTATAAAAGGTCTTCCTCATATCGAGATGAGACTTGCCTGGCTGTGTAAGACTGTAGCCAGTGGTCCTTCCACAATTCATCCTTTGAATACTGTGTTTTCCAGGAGTAAATAAAACTTTCAATGCTATCTGATCAGGCAGGACTTTGGTCTTTCTTTTCTGGAGACTCTTCTACAAATAGACTCATAAAGGCTGCAATGGCAACTACTTTTTCAAATCGCTCTAGTGACCGTCTTTAAAGGCCTGGTTTCAAAACTCTCATTACTTCATATCATAGTTCAGAATTTAACCACACTTTTACCTACTTTTCATGCTAAATTAAAAGTAAGGAGAAAATAGAAAAAATGTAAGTTTAAAAATACACAAACATTAAGATAAAATTCAACTTACATGGTACCTACAACTAAATTTCTTCTTGGGAGACTAAGTATCTACATTCATAGATGCACAATTTGGAAGTATAACAAAAAGCAGACAGTATCATCAGTGGACTAGGAAACATCCAATTTCAAACTGAGAAAAAGATAGAACTGGACCGTCTACATGACAGATTAACACACAACTGTGTAATCTATTAAGAACTCATTCTACATACTATGCCTGGAAACCTGACTTTAGTGGAGACTCTCAAAAACTGATTTTGTTCACAGAAGCACAAATATTTTATTAGTTCATTACTGCAAAAAGTCAATGAAAAGTTTATATATGGAAGGAAACTTTGTTGGTTACCAGGGGTGGGAGGGAACACTACAAAAATTAAAAATAAATTAAGACCTAGTCCCGCAGGCTGAGATTTAAAAAAAAAAAAGTGATTTTGCTACACAATGCAGTGGATCTCCAAAACAAGAGATGCTGTGAGAGAGCCTCAAAATCCAAGTTTTAAATTTAAAAACTGTGCATACTCAATTTCAAGGAAGCAACCTCACAGCGGTCAATTCCAACTCATAGCAACCCTACAGGACAGAGTAGGTAGAACTGCCCTACCAGGTTTAAGGCTTCAATCTTTACAGAAGCTAACTGCCACATCTTTCTCTCAAGGAGTGGCTGGTGGGTTCCACCATTCAGTTAGCAGCCCAGTACTTAAGGAGCCAAGTTAGGAGTCAGAGGAAATAAAACAACTGGGAGTGAGGGGGCTGGCCAGGGGGCACCCTTCCATGAGACCTGGAATGCTGTTCAGGTATACAGAGTACCACAGAAAATGGAGAGGAAAATGGCTCTGGGAGGCCATGAAACAGATGGGAAAGCTATGTCTCTGAACTTCCATTGTCTGCTGTAGGAGACGTTTCTCAAAATAGCTCATTTCCTCAATTCCAAAACACACAAATGGTTCTAGAGGTGGGAAGAAATAACCCACCCCATTTAAACCATAAGACATATTGACCAGAATCTAAAAGTTCGAAAAATATGCAACACAGAATTGAGGCTTCACAATAGCCTTCCTGCAGCAGAATGACAAACTGCTGCAGATTAGACTGACATTTCCCCAGGGCCCACTAAAGGTGTGCAAGCTCACCTTAGCAATTTAAATAAAGGTTGGGCAATCTACTTCTGTATTGATACTGCCTCAGAAACCCAAGGAAGGGTCGCTATGAGTCGGATCCAACTGAAGGCAATGAGTAATTTAAGTAAACCTAGGATTAACTTTTTCCATTTACTTTTCACCAGGTATAGACCCTATTTTAGAATCCAATTTTCCTAAACTGAAAGCAAGCAAAAGTGTCCAAAACCAGAAAATCTTTGTTTGCTACACATTCACCACCTCCTCAAAAGTAAATTTTGAATAAAAAAATAAGGGTTTTTGGATTGTTTCATTTTATTTAGGTCAAGGATCTGCTCAACATAACTTCCTGATTGTTACAATGTTCTTTCCATCTACTGCCATGGGACAGCCTCCTCCTCCCAGAGGGAGGAGCTCACCTTCATTACCTGCTTTCTAAGGTTTTTTCCCCCTGCCACCTGCCAGGTTTTCAAGGAAGGTATTGAATTATTTTAACCAAACTGCACTGCTTCGCTTATCTGAACTAGGGTGAAAAATGTATGCTGCACACACAAAGACTGTGTAACGTGGTTGCTACAGGATACAAAAAAGTACAAGTAACATGGTCAAGGAAATACATTTAACCAATATACTTGCAGCCATAGTAATCAATATACTTGCCAGCTATGCCAAAATACAGAAAGGCATTTCCATTTCAAAAGTTTATGAAGTTGAATCAGCCAACGTTTTCCTGTATTTTTATACAACAGTAAATAAGAAAAAAGTTCACGAAATAAGGAAATATTATGCCATTAAGCTAGTTACCTCCCTACAACAATGAAGGTAAAACAAAAGAAATGGCAATAACAGTTTCTAGAATATTTCCATAAAAACACAGGTGGGAAAGGACTTGAAACATTTCAGTGTTCCTTTCCTAGTAAGGTGTTTTTCTTATATCTGTGTTCCTATCCCATTTAAGAGTTTATCTTGGTAAGCATGGAGGGCCTGGAGAGGAGAAATACTCAAAAATCTAAACAATAACTTTAACGTCTCCCAAATACAAGGAGGGCAAGCCTGGGGACACAATGGTATGCCAAGCCAGATTCTCCGGACCTACTATAAAGAGGCGCTGGTTTACAGTGGGCAAGGTATATAACAAGACCGTCTCCATTTCCTAATGCTCCATCACTGTTCTTTTTTTGCTCCCTCCCAACGGAGACTGGTCCATGATGCCAGATTTAAGTTCAACCTAAACTTTGTAACAGGTACTCTTCATGTAAAAAGGTCCAAAACCCAATTCAAACGTAAAACGTGTCCATGACTCTAGTACTGTAGGAAAGTATGCTTCCAAAGTTCAGATGTAGTACAGTAACTTTTATTATACCTGGAAAAAGGGAAAGAAAGGGGTGAGGGTTTTTTTTTAAAAAAAAAAAAAAAAGCACAAACCACACTCTACATTACCAAATTCAAGAGAAGAATGGGGATTTCGACGGCGAGGGCTTGAAGACCACCTGACCCAGAACAGGACGAAGAGTTGCCTCCAGGCCACGCGGGGGCCCCTGTCCTTGGTCACATCACCTGACTGGAACGGGCTGCATGGTCGCTTACCATCCCTCCAAACCTGAAATCCCTACCTCAAAAGCCCTCAAAAGCAGGGGGAGAAAATACGTTTCTTCCGAAGGCGCAAAAAAGGCCACAACGCGGATGAATGAACCTGGGCTAAGGGCACTCGAAGCAGGACTGTCGCTGAAGTCAGAAAAAGAGAAGTCAAAGATTGTTTAACGTGAGAACTGTTAGGAGCGACCGTGATACAGACAACTGCAGACACGCTTTGGAGGATGGTTTTATTGAGCGCGGACGGTTCCGGGAAGGCAGGCCGGCGCTAGCGGCGGAGGCAGGCGGCGGAGTAGGGACGGAGAGGGCGGCGGCGGTGCCGGCGACGAGGCGGCTTCACGACGGCGGGAGCGGGGCCGGAGCCGGGCTGGGCGCTCGCGCGTGTCCTCCCGCGGACCTTCCATGGATCCCGCGGCCGTACCGGGACTGCCCCGCCCCCCGCCAGGGCCGCGTGCGAGGCACACCCTCCCGCGCCCCCGCGCACGCCGCCTGCGCGCCCCTCAGGCCGCACAGGGAGGCCCGGGGTCCCGCTGGCTGAGCGTGCGGGGGTCGGCGGCGCGCGGCCTAGCGGCTACGGGGACACACACACATACACACAACAAGGCGGGCTCTGAAGGGAAGGTCACTTACCCGCTGCATGGCTTTCAGGATCAAAGCCAGCTCGTAGCGGGGCATGCCCGAACGCACGGCGCGCGGGTCCCAGCCTAGCTGGCTCCAGGAGCGCAGAAGAGCCGAAAGGCGCGGAGAGCGCAAGGAGAAGCGAAGGTACCGGGCTTCAAGGCTCCCGAACGGCGAAAGCACACTCCAGCCGCGCGAGCCTGGGCTTAAAGGCGCTGGCAGCTGCGCACACGGCGCGACACGCCCCTTCGCGCGACACGCCCCCCGCGCGGGCAACGGCCGCGGCTGCCCCGCCCCCTCCTTAAGGTGGTCCTGCCGCGCCCCCTCCGCAGCTCCGAGCGCGCCCCGTGGCGTAGGGCCCTCCGTCAGCACCCCCGACTGGATGCCGCTGATTGATGGTAGCGCCGCGGGATCGTCTGAAAAAGGCTAGCGGAACCCGCGCTGCCCCGCCCCCGGTGCTGCGCTGGATACCTAGGGTTCTCGAACCCTCTGGAACTTTCCATGCCTCCCGTCTCCTCTTGTGCAGCGGTCGCACATGCGCGTGCGCTGCGGTTTCGTCCGTGCGCGCGCCCCTCTCCAGAGACTCCTTGGCGCGTGGACTTACAGGCGGCAACGCTGCTCCGGGCGGGGGCGCAGCCAGCCGAGGGTTCTCCCGGTGTATGGCTGCATACACGGCTCCGGGACGTTCCCCCTTGAAGACTGCGCAGTCTGCGTCTTCTGGCTTCCCGGAGACCCTTCCCCAACGAGGTTCAGCGCAGGCCCGGGGGTCGAGGCTGGTTGCGTTCCCGCTGACTGCGTGACCTTGGGGAGGCTCCTATTGCAGAAAGCGGGGATGCGAGCGGCACCTACTTCACAGGGCTGCCCCACTCTTTTCAGTGAGTTGATGCACGTAAAGCACTGAGAACCATGCCATGGTTGGCAAATCCAGCCAGGCCTGACCCACGTGTGGTTGTCAAGGGCATGCTAATAATTTGGCTCAAACCAATAGTCTTTAAATATTTATTCAATGTTCATTTAGAGGATTGACTGAGTACTTGGAAGGCCAGTTAGCCACCGTCTGGGATCAGAGTGCTGGGGGGACAGGGTTGTAGGTAATCTCTTCCTGTACTTCCCGACCCGCAAACCTGTACAAGTTGTGCTAAATGCAGTTTTCTCCAGCTCCTCTCCTTAGAGATTGGACCCCTGCAACTGTCACCCTTCCTTTGTCCCAGTAAAGGGATTCGGAAGGAAGGTTGGGCAATTTACTTCCATAGAAATATAGCCTTGAAAACCCAAGGCGCTATGAGTCGGATCCCAACTGGACGGTGGTAGTTGCATTGTGTCTAAGTGAAATGTTAGTCAACTTCAAAGTGCTGTAACGATAATAGGTAACACTGAACAACTATGTATTGGATCAGGCACCACGCTGAGCCTTTTACATGTGTCTCATAAAATTCTCACAACAGCCCTCACTTGGAGGGGGTGGCAGGGGGCAGTTGATTCGAACTCATGATGGTGACCCCATGTGTTACAAAGTACAAACTTTGTGGCCTTTTGCAGCAGATCACCAGGCTTTCCAAGGTGCATCTGGTGTGTTTGAACCACCAACTTTCTGTCAGAAACAGAGCATTGAACTTCTGCAACATCCAGGGACTCCAACCTCACTTTACTAAAAACCTCCCTGCCATGGAGTGGATTTGGACTCACAGCAACCCCTTTTGGGTTTCCCAGAAGGTAAATCTTTATGGAAGTAGATTGCCCAGTCTTCCGAGTAAGTTTAATCTCACTTTATGGAGTTCAGGAAATGCAGGCATGCAAAAGCTATGTTACTAGCCCAGGTCACACAAATAATAGGTAACAGAGACAAAAAGTTGGACCCACAGTATCTGAGGGCAGCACCTATTAGCCACCAGCTTTATTTCCAGCCTCCAGTTCTCCAGTCAAGGTATTTTTCAGTGGGTTACCCATGTATGCCCATGTAAACCAATAATAAAGAGTACCTTTGTCACTTCATCCAGAGACCCTTACCAATCCACATCTCCTACCTCCCATTCCCCACAAAAGATGAGGAGGATGGTTTGAACACAGGCTTTTCTGTGATATCTGGGTTTAACATTTTCTGTTCTTGGACTTCTCCACGGCCCAAGTTCTTTCACAGAGAAACCACACAGTATTAATCCAAATTACCTGGTTAGTGTCAACTAATTTCACCTCTGGTTAAAAAAGAGTAAACCAAACCAAAACCAAACTCAACTGCCGTCGAGTTGGATCCAACTCATAGCAACCACTTCCTTGGGTTTCTGGGGCGGTAGCATACTATAAATAATAACAGAAGAAAACCAGGAATTTCTGGACCTTCAGAAGTGACTTACAGATTTTCCAGTATAGTCCCTACTTCAACCGACCCTCCTGTTGTCAACCGTGTTTGGGAATGAGAAAATATAAACTTTACAATTCTATGCCAAGTCAAAGACCATGGCAATAAAGTAAACTGACTAAAACTTCTAGAATTTCCTTTCAGAAGCTCTAAACTTTTTCTCTAATGCCCAGTGAAGAGTGAGCAGCTGGCTTCCTCCTCTATCCTCTCTAACCTGAGGACTGGTATAAGGAAATTAGCCTGTACTAACACTGCCGGAGCTCTGGTAGCTTAGTGCCTAAGGCACTTGACTACTAACCAGAAGACCGGTGGTTCAAACCCACCAGCCTCTCGGAAGGAAGATGGGGCAATCTACATCTCTAGTGAGACTGCCTCGGAAACCCAAGGAGGGGTCGCTATGAGTCAGGGCCGACTCGACGGCACATAACAACGACAACACTCCAGAGAAAGAGTTGGCACCTTCAAACCTTCCCAACCCAGTAGCCTACCCATGAACTCATCCCTTTGCTTCTTGAAGGGAGACAGCAGCTCCCCCTGATTTTTCTCCTTCAAATTGTATGTAAAAATTACATCAGAAAACTTGTGGCTTCATAAAAAATAACATGATTTCTTAAAATCATGAGGCATGCTGCTACAAATGTAATGTCTTCCTCCTACAACAACAGATTCACCAAATTCACATATGTATTGTCAACATTCAGAATTACAAAACATTACTGTAATGATTAGTGTATACACTAAAAATACACATTCTGTAATTTTTACAGTCTCCAAAACCTTTTATATTGTATATGTTTGTATAGTATAAGATTTGATTAACCAGAAATTTTGATAATTCTCAATTTTTGGGGGGGAAGGAGAAGCAGGAGGAATGGGAAAGAAAAATAAGAACAGAAATTGAAATTCTGTCCTATTTTTAAAAAGTAAATTTAGGATATGCTCTGAGTTTGTTTTATCACCTTTATTTTATATTACTGTATGTTATGTATTGAATTGTGTCCTCACACAAGAGGTACTGAAGTCCCAACCACCATCTCCACCTATGAGTGTGATCTTGTTTGGAAATACAGTCCTTGAAGGTATTATGAATTAACATGAAATCATACAGAAGTAAGGTGGGTTCTAATCCAATATGACTGGTGCCATTATGAAAAAGGAGAAGAGATACAGAGAGACACACAGAGGGAAGTCAAGCTATGTGAAGGTGCATCTACAAGCCAAGGAACTCCAAGAAACACCTAGGAATATCAGAAGTTGAGAGAAACAAGAAAGGATCTTCCCCTAGAGACTTCAGAGAGACCATGGCCCTTTGTACACTTCTGAATTTGTACTTCAGAACTCTGAAACAATAAATTTCTGGTCTTAAAAGCCATCCAAGTTGTGGTATTTTCTTCTGGCAGCCCTACAAAAGTAATACACTATATAATGAGACTTGAACTTGAATCCATGCAAGATCATGAATTCTCAAAGGTAGCTGTTATTTCTGTCACTGAATCTAGAATGCATGGGGTGCTCACTATGTGCCAGCATATTCTAAGTGTTTTGCATCTATTAGCATTTAACTATCACCACAAAGATATCAGAGGTTCTTCGAATTTTACAGATGAAGAAAATGACACTTGCCCCAAAACACACAGAACTCAGAACCTGCACACTTAACCTCAAAACCATACTATTCCTCAGTATGTTTACTGAAAACTCAAACTCACTGCTATTGAGTCGATTCCAAGTCATAAAAACCCCCTTTGGGTTTCCCAGGTCGTAAATCTTTATGGAAGTAGATTGTCCAATATTCCCTCCACAGAGTGGCTGGTAGGTTTGAACTGCCACTCTTCTGGTTAGCAATCAAATGCCTTAGGCACTATGCTACCAGAGCTCCCTGCCTGGTCCTGTACCATCCTCATAATCCCTGCTATGCCTGAGCCCATCGTTGCAGCCACTGTGTTAATCAATCTTGTTGAAGACCTTCCCCTTTTTCGTTGACCCTTGATAGCATAGTGCCTAAGGCACTTGACTGCTAACCAGAAGGCTGGTGGTACAAACCTACTAGCCACTCCTCCGAAGGAAGATGGGGCAATCTACTTCCATAGTGATACTGCCTCAGAAACCCATGGAGGGGTCGCTATGAGTCGGGTCCAACGGGACGGCACATAACAACAACAATATCCTTCTCCAGGGAATGGTTCTTTCTGACAACATGACCAAAGTAGGTGAGATGAAGTTTGGCCATTCTCGCTTCCAAGGAGCTTTCTGGCTTCCAGGACAGACTTGTTAGTTCTTTCAGCAATCCATGGTACTCTCAGCATTCTTTGCCAAGACCACGATTCAAAAGCGTCAACTCTTCTTCGATATTCCTTATTTATTGTCCAGCTCTCACATGCATAAGAGGCAATTGAAAATACCATGTTGTGGGTTAGGCACACCTTAGTCTTGAAGGAGACATCCTTACTCTTCACTTGAAAGAGGTCTTTTGCAGCAGATTTGCCCTATGCAGTACGTCATCTGATGTCTTGACTGCTGTTTCTGTTGGTGTTGATTGTAGAACCAAGTAATATGAAGTCCTTGACAACTTCAATCTTTTCTCCATTTATTGTGATGCTGCTTATTGGTCCAGTTGTGAGGATTTTTGTTTTCTTTATATTGAAGTGGAATCCATACTCCAGACTCTAGCCTTCAATCTTCAGCAGTAAGTGCTTCAAGTCATCCTCACTTTCAGCAAGCAAAGTTGTGTCATCTGCATATTGTAGGTTGTTAATGAGTCTTCCTCCAATCCTGCTATGTTTTTCTTCATATAGTCCAGCTTCTCAGATTATTTGCTCAGCATATAGATTAAATAAGTATGGTGAAGGGATACACGCTGACACACTCCTTTCTTGATCTTGAACCATGAGTATCTCCTTGTTCTGTTCAAACGACAGCCTCCTGATCTATGTACAGGTTCCTCATGAGTACAATTAAGTGTTCTGGAATTCCCATTCTTCTCAATGTTAACCATAATCTGTTATGATCCACACAATCAAATACTTTTGCATAGTCAATAAATCACAAGTAAACACCTTTCTGGTATACTTTGCTTTCAGCTAAGATCCATCTGACATCAGCAATGATATTCTTTGTTCCACATCCTCTTCTGAATCCAGCTTGCATTTCTTGACATTCTCTACCAATAGACCACTGAAGCCATTTTTGAATTATCTTCAGTAAGATTTTACTTGCGTGTGACATTAATGATATTGTTTGATAATTTCCACATTCTGTGGGATCGCCTTTCTTTGGAATGGGTACAAATATGGATCTCTTGCAGTCAGTTGGCCAGGTAGCTGTCTTCCAAATCTCTTGGCATAGCTGAGTGAGTGTCCCTAGCGTGGCATCCATTTATTGAAACATCTCAATGGGTATTCCGTCAATTCCTGGAGCCTTGTTCTTTGCCAATTCCTTCATTGCAGCCTCAACTTCTTCCCTCAATACCATTGGTTCTTGATCACATGCCACCTCCTGAAATGGATGAACATCGACCAACTCTTTTTGGTACAGTGCTTCTGTGCATTCCTTCCATC